TGGGAGTTGAAATTGAATTGCCCACTTTTTTCCAGAAGCCTCAAATTCCCAATTTTTGTCCAGTCAAAGTTTTTAATTTCCCTATGTAAGGATGTCTCCGAAGATAGGGATGGTGGTGGGGGCAGGAGGGATCCTCCTATTTTCAGGCAATGGGCTGTAATTCGCTGATGACTTTTTTTTGTCTCAATTTTGCTTTGAAATGAGTTTACATAACAACAGGGAGATAGGCGGCAGGCGCCTTGGGGTTTCTACATCGAGGACAACAAGTCAGCCGCCGGCCGCCCTGTACAGAATTAAAGTAAACATTGTGCTCCCTTACTGTCTCAACTATTAACTGTCCAGTCGTTTTCTAGCTAGCTAACGTAGAGCAGTTAGTGCTGGCTGTGTGCTAGAATCAGAATATTTGTCTCAACTCGTTTTCAACTAGCCTCTACCTAATTTTAGTAAATTCTGTTCAAAAGAAAACAAAAATCCCTTTTTATTGGTTTTTTTTTTCTTTTGTAATTAGATTTGTCTAATATATATCTTTATTAAGTAATTAAGATATTTTTAATTAATTTTATATAAATTTTTATATTAAATTTATAATTTTTTAATAAATTTTAAGTATTAAATTATATTAGATTATATTTGAATATTTTATAAAAATTTATTTAAAATTAATTACATATATTGTAATTAATAAAATTTAACTTATATTTTAAAAACATAAATTTGAAAATCCATTTTTTATCAATAGTCAGTGAACATTTATTATGTACATAAAATGGTACATTTATTATGTATATAAAATGGTAATTTTATTATAAATTTGTGATTTTTCATTTTAAATTGTATTAAATTATAAAACTAAAATTACTGGTAAAGAGGCTACTCTAACGTTTTAGAGATTTTGTTCCTTGTTTAAATAAGAGACTCCTTTAAGTCTTTAATGTTTTAGAGATTTTATCCTTTATTCAATTTCTTGTGTAGTTTAATCGTAAAACTATAATATTTTATATATATGTACAATTTTTTTTTTTAAATTGAAAATTTAGGAATGGGGAATTTTCCTTTGTAGAATTTGAATTTTGCCAATTGCCAAGATCAAACGGTGCATTTGCCAGCATAACTAGTACTGCAAGTTGCTATCTTTCATATTTATATGTACATTGAAAAGGAAGATCCAAACTCATCTCTTCCTCTAATGCACAGAGAAAATGCACATTATCAATCCAGCTATGAGTGAGCTGACTATGGCAATTCATCAATTATTTGTGTACAATAGAGCTAAAGCTGATTCATTTTCTCTGGGATAAAAGCATGAATCATGAGGATTTTACTAATTGAGCTGCAAATTCAAGCTTAAGAAATTATTACTTTGCTAGGATTTACTTTAATCATTGAACCAATGCTTCAATAATAGAAAATTATGAGGCAGAATCAATTTCTCCGGATCCCTTTTTTCAAAGGAAAATGCCCACCTAGTTTATTTCGTTGTCCAATTATTAATAATTACTTAAACCAAGCACTCGATGGTTTATAGAAATTAGAAACTCACATTCACAAAATGCATAGCATGCTCTAGAAATTCTCAAAACATTCTGGTCATGTGAGTGCACAATGGAAGATGTAAACATGGTCTTGATCCACTGCATGGAATGTTCAGAGAAAGACACTAAACACAATAAAAATGTTATTATTGCTATAACCAACAACCAAGTACAAAAAAACATCCATGTATCAAGGGACACAAAAAAAAAGAAAAAGAAAAAAAGAAAGAACTAAAACAAAAATAGACATGTATATTGTTAGGAACTGTATTTCTGATATCAACCACTCAAAATTTGAGTCTAAAAACTATTCTTCAATCCATGTCTATATGAAGAAGTTGTAATCCGGGTGAATTTCAATGGGATGTCTTATTAATGGTTTGTATGTGCAAATATTATTTGTATGTATACTGTGATAGGAAATTCTTCACCTCAGCTGCAACCTCATAAGCACCTTCCACACATCCTCCCAAGGCTACACCAGAGACGTAGTTGCCCCCAAGAAATAGACCATCAAACCCAGAATCCCTCAGTGCGGCTTTTGCAGTATCTAGGAGATCGAAATGACCAACCAAGAATTGTGGAATGGCTTGTGGCCATACTCTAACACCCAATACAAGAGGATCTGTTGAGTTAGGATTTATGAGCATTTTTCTTAAATCACGGTCAACTGCTTCCACAAGCTCACCTTCGGTCTGCCAGAGAAATATTAGCATACTGTAAATATCAAACACCAGGGAAAAATATAACATGTGGTATATATCAAATAAGGATTGATATTATGCTAAAAAATTATCTTTACCTTCGACAAAATTCCAGGGTTTGTAGCACCACCAATAAAGTTCAGAAGCAAAACCCTTCCTGGTGGTGCTCGATTAGGAAAAAGTGAGGAACTGTATATAGTCCCTGCAATTTTTTGTAACATATCTTCAATTAAGAAGTCCTTTCAAATAAAGTGATATTTACTGAAACCAAATATTCAGAATAAGAAAGAACCAGATCACAATACTTCTAGAAATGGTAGCTACCTAAAGTTTCCACCCCTTGGCTGCGTGGGTGCAATTGGCCGAACCCCTTAAGTTCACCATCAATCAAGCATTCTGTTCTAATTGCTTCTTTTGGATATGAAATGGAGACTGCTGCAACTGGTGGGTAATAAAACTTGGATAGTGCGTCAGCGGTGACAGCCTGTGCATAAAATGCAGAAATAGACAGAATAAATACTAGAAAGTTTGAAATCTAGTAAACAACTGGATATAACACTCAGTTCATCCACAACATAGTTGAATATTCAGAAAAAGTTAGTCAATTGTAAGCTAAGACACCTAATGGTGAAGCCCTAATTCAGTGATCAAAACATGTACAAAAACTGTGTTCTTCTTCAAAGTGTGTGGTCACAATTTAGACTTCATTCAGAATCCAAATCCAAAGTCATATTCATAGATGCAAGTTTCCATGGTAGCAACAATATTCATGAAGAACCTCACAAGCTAGCAATTAATATAGAAAAGGATTTTTCAAGCTATGATCAAATTAAAAAAATGAAACATACTGATAAAGGATTCAACAGACTACTGGCAATATGGGACGGGATGGTCATGACAACAGTTTTAGTCTGAAGAGACGCCACTCCTCCTGGAGTTTCATATGTCAAATTATATCCTCCATCCAACTTAGTGATGCTCGAGAGCTTCCATGATAATCTAACTCTGCTACCCAAACTGCCAATATCAACACTATAGATTATGATCTTGAAACCAGGGTGCATAATAATAAGCATGTGTGTTAAGACAATAGAAGCAATAACGCTTATCACCAGAAAGACTGACCATCAACTAAATATCTAATTTTCAGAACACAGAATTTCAAGAATGTCAAGTTACCTAGCGGAAATTGCTTCAGGCAACATAGAAAGACCTTTCCTAAAAGATCCAACTGTTTGGCCTTTTTGTTTTGGTAGACGCCTGGGACAAAACTAAATATCAGAAAGATAAAAATCAATTTCATAAGAAACGAAATAAGTACAAGACACTTGTGTATAATTACCGGTCCTGGGCTGGCTTGGGTGCTTTATTTTTCTCCTGGATGGCTTTGAAAGCACCCCCAACAATGCTACCACCATTCTGCTCTAGCTCCCAAACTTTTCCAAATGCTGCTTTCATGCTTAGCTTTGAAGGATCCCCTGCATAAACACCTGCAGCAACAGGTTTTACTGTTACAGAAATCATGACCTCTTTAAGAAGCAAAACTGCATTCCTATAATTAACTTTAAGAACCACTAGAAATCCAAATTGGAAATGGGTAGCTCATTTGTTGCAAAAATTAAAAGTGGACTAACTTAATCAAATCCATGTTGAATTTAGAGGGAGTTATGGAATAAACAAATTTACAAACTTTAAGAAGTTCAACTATTTCAAATTTTCACATCCATTAGGTGGTGATAACAGCCAACATTTACACTACCTTCATCATAAGTTAGCAGCATAAAATCTCAAAGACTCAAATGATAAAACTATGTAGGTGCAAATTAATTAACTGAGAGTGAGATGAATTCTCCATACAGACTAGAAGAGAAAATTTCAGCTCTTATCAACTCATCATAAGGAAAATCCAACAGTTTCTTACATGATCAAGTACCATTAAAGTGACATGAGTCACTGATGCCAAACCAACAAAATATCTTTCTAAGATTGCAATTCTCAGATATGGATCAAGAAATGTTTATAAAAGAACAATTCAAGATGACAGAAATAAATTTTCCACCTGAACAAAATGGTTCAATCAAGCGCTCAAAAACCTCATCACCCAGGTTACGGCGCACAAACTCCTCAACTGATTCTTCATGACCCTGTTACCTTTGCCAACATTTTATGAGACCTCAGTTAACCATGAACATAAGCAAGTATAAGAACAAGACGAACAGCAATGAATTATATAATTTAACAAGCTCAGAAGAATGAAGGGAGTACAAACTGGAGGAGGAGGGCGAATGCCAATAGCACCAAAACCAGCTCTTAGTTTTCCACCAATGCTCATTAAATCAAAAAGCGGCAGGTCAGTCAGCTTGGAAGGAACAGGCCTCAACTTTCCATCCCACAATATAAATCGTGGTGCATTAGGGTCACCCAGAACCAGATCATCCTTCAACCCATTATCCACCTATATCCGGTAATTGACAAATTAGATCAAAATCACTCAGACTCTAACAGAAATCACTGAAAATTATTGTAGCTGATGCGTATAACAGGCTAAGAACAACAAAAAAACATATTTATAACTTCATGATAGCAACAAATTATAACATGAACCTTCAAATGAACTGTGTCAATTGAACCTGAGAAAACAAATTGACAACTATAATTTAGTAAGCATTTGGTGATTCTATACCCTACAGCTCTAATGTAGTTCAGTTTTACTATAATTGAATCTAACCCTAATTAGTTCCTTGGATTCTCCAGCTTAACAAAATTGCGGAGAAAGAATTCAGAACGTACCACCAAGGTGAGCATAGAATCAGACGGCTGGAAAGTGTTGGGTCCCTCTTCCCAGAGATATCCGTCCCTCTCAACAGTGATGATGTTGCCACCAACTCGGTCCTTAGCCTCCGTCACAATCACATTTGGAACAACGTCCCGGTGCTTGGTGGCGAGCGCTTGGGCAACACAGAGGCCGGTGATCCCACCTCCAACAATTACGCAATCCGCGGCGGGGACCGGTTCTCCACCATCGATGGTTGATACGGAACGCGTGGGCCCCTCCGCGATAGAGCAGCAAAGCTTGAAAGGTCTGTTGATGTGGGGCCTCGAAATGGGTTTGGAGAGTGAGAGGGAGAGTGATGGGCGGAAAAGAGAGAGGTCGGTGACAGTGGTCATGGCGGTGGCGGAGATCAATGATAGAGAACGGTGGCGAAGGCTTTGATTGAATTCAGCGGAGGGAGGTTGGTGGTTTTATTTTAGGCGACTGGAAAAAACCACCTGCGGAGAATTTTCGCAGCTACAGTAATTC